GTATGTATGTATGTATGTATGTATGTATGTATGTATGTATGTATGTATGTATGTATGTATGTATGTATGTATGTATGTATGTATGTATGTATGTATGTATGTATTTGCGTGTATTCGTGTTTGTGTGTTTGTGTGTATGTATGTATGTATGTATTTGCGTGTATTCGTGTTTGTGTGTATGTACGTGTGTTGGGTAGGGGGAGGTGTGTTTCAGACAGGAAGGAGGCCAAAGTGAATTGGGCGGAAAATTCACCCCACAGTTCAAGTAAGACAATAAATGGACTGCCGGAAGGCGTCCGGGAAGAAGTCCGAAACGGCCCCCCAGGGAGGGAGTCCTAAGAGGGAAGAGGGAAGGAGGGTGGTGAGGACTGCGGAGTCGAAATGGTGGCAGGTGGTTGCACGGGGCAACAGGTGAACAGTCATTCGCCGATGCGGGAAGTACCGCCTCAACAGCTGGAGGGAACCGGCGGGCCGGCAGGTGGGCAGGTGGGCAGGAGACAAGATAAAAAAAACGTCCTGTCAAGTAAAAGTTGAAAGGAGCGTGGACCGCGGGGGGGTTGGGGGGGTAAGACTAAAACCACTAAGACTAAAACCACTGGCGAGTGAAGCAGATAATACCGGAAATAGACGGGTAGTAGTCCAGGAGGAGAAGACAAGAGCTGCATCAGGAAAGGAGGGCTGGAGGTTGGGGGTTGGGGAGTTACTGCAATATCAGCAGAAATAACAACTGACGACGGCGGGGTGGAGGGGGGGACATGGGGCGCTAGCTCCTCACCAGACTCGGCGACGATACACACGGCAGGGGGCTGCCGGCCCGAGGTGGAGACGGAGACGTGGAGACGGAGGCCATCGCGACTGCCGCCATCACCAGCACCCGAAACCCCGGCGGGAGAGGCGGCGCCAGTACCGCTGCCGCTGCCTCTGCCGCCAAGTGCGGGCCCCGCCGGCCCGGCGTCGCTACTCGACCGGCGGCGGCGGCGGCGACCGGGGCCTGCCGTACCACCCGACCCACCCGTCAGGAGCATCCGCGACACCTGCCGTACATCCTCTTCCCGTCCCACGAAGCGGTCACTATCCAGCGGCGGCAGGGAGCACCGGGGCTGCAGCGCCGCCGCAGCGGGGCTGGCGGCGGCGGAGGATGTGGCCGTGGCCGCCGCCGCTGCCGCAGCGGCGGCGGCGGAGGAAACGCCACCGTCGCCTCCACCGGCGTAGATAGACCCCGGGCTGGAGCTGCTGCGGCGAAGAGCGGTTACACCGCCGCCACTACCACCACCACCACCACCACCACCGCTGGCGATGGCGGTAGTGACGCCGCCGGCAACAGCTTGCTCCACGTCACCATCCATGCTGAGCCGTACTGCATGTGTTGACGACAAAGGGTTTCACCACACACACACACACACACACACACACACCAGGTATAATGTCTGTACCACTGAGACGACCAGAGAGACTCAAAGAGCTGCGGAGGCCAGCAGGTACACACACGCACGCACACGCCTGCAAATACCTTAGCGAAGGCTAGGCCAACCGCCCTTCCCACCTTCCCCCCCAGACCTGCAGCGACAGCAGCAACCCCAGCCGTAACCAAGTCGCCCAATATAACAATGTAACTTGTAATTTGTAAATTATAAATTATAATTTGTACCGCCCCCAATAGCGTCACCTTCCCTACCGTACCAAAACACCCATACATGTAACACCGCCCCTGCCGTACACCGCCCCTGCCGTAGGCACCTGTTAGCTGCGTGACAACTTCCCGCAGGTCGGCGTCCGCGGGCACTGTACGGCGCAGATCCACCACTGAGATCCGACCTGCCGTAGAAACACCCAGTCTGCACTCGAAGGCCCGGCGGCGATGCGGCTTGGCGAGCCGGGATGAGAGCGCCGCGATCACCTTCAGGGGCGGAGTGAGAGCACGTGTGTGGTGGTGGTGGTGGGGGTGGGGGTGGGAGAGAGGGGTTGCGAGAGGGTTAGGTGACAGGAGTCGCAAAGCGAAAAGGTGGAATGAGGGGTTATGAGGAGGGGTTCTCGATGAGAACAGTGGTCTGTTCCTGCTCGTAGGTCCTGCATTCCCCTCCCCTTCCCTTTTCCCCCCCCCCTTTTCCCCATTATCACACCGCCCATATCCTACACCACATCAGC